GAAGTAGAGATTGGATGTACCTTCCACTGGTGAGTAAACGCATTTCATGGACTAAAATTTCTTTTGTGGGAGGCTGTCTGCCTGATGTTCTGACATTTTGGAGGGGGTTGAGTGTTCATCGCTCTCTCTCTCTCTCTCTCTTTTTCCTGAGATACGGCTTTCTATGTTGCCTGGTCTGGTCTCCCAACTCTTGTGCTTTAGTGATCCTCCCCCCTCACACTTGCTCTGCAATTGAGATTAAAGGTGTCCCCCATTGTGCTGGCTTTTTGAACTCACACTTTTTAAAAGTGCAAGCATAAAATAAAAATAATAAAATAAAAGTGCAAACTTACAGGCTGGGGCCAGCTCATGTAACCATAAGAATTGTCTATGGTTGCTTTACAGTGGAACTTGGTAATAGTAGAGGCTCCGGTCTTTAAATATTAAAGTGTAGTTGCATGAAAGGATGTTTCTTATTTAGAGATATATATGGGAGTATTTTCAGGTGAAATATCTGCCATTTATCTTAAAATAATGAAGGTGGGTTGTTGAGGAGTGAAGATTGGGCATGGACTTCTCAAGGCTACCATTTTGATGTTGCTGTGAGCTATGACGCCATGGCTTATAGGGTATCAGAGTGGGATGGTCTCAAAAAAAAATGTTTAGAACATTTCTTCCTTTTTCTTCTTTTTTTTTTTTCCTTTTTGGGAGACAGTTTCAACTGTTGTCCCAGGCTAGAGTGCCCTGGTGTCCTATCTCACAATAACCTCAAACTCCTAGGCTCAAGGGATCCGCTTGCCTCAGCCTCTGAGTGGCTGGGACTCCAGGAATATGCCATAAAACCTAGTGAACCTATTTTTTTTAAGTAGGGATGGGGTGTTGCTTTTCCTTGGGTTAGTCTCAACTCCTGACCTCAAGCATTCCACTGGCCTCTGCATCCCAGGGTGCTAGCTAGAAGAGGCTAGACTCCTCTCACCAGCTTGTTCTGGCCAAGGATAAGACATAAATATATCCTCTAGAGCTCATTGTGGTGGTTAAGTAAATGACAGTTTTTCAAGGAAAGAAATTGTCCTTTGGGCCATAAGGCAGAATTCAGTGTGCCTGTGTTTCCGGGAGATTTGATGAGGGGTGGACATTTTTTATTTAAATTTAACTCCTAAGACTGGGTGGGATGGTGACCGGTTATTTATTTGCTATATTTTTCTGTGTTTCTCCTTCATTCACGTTGGTTGATTAGGAGCTATTTGACCAGGTTAGGTGTGTCTGGGCTTTTCTCTCTGGTCCTGAACTCATGTGAATAGAGACCAAGAAGGGCCAGAAAATAGCCTGATCAAGCTTCATCATGGTCAGCCTCTCTCCCTTAGATCTAGTTAGCTGCCACCTTTGGGCTTTGGGTTAGGTGGGTCTGAAATGCCCAATAATTAAGGGGGTGGTGTTCTTACAGTCTATCACAGCTGTTCTCAACCTGTGGGTTGAGACCCCTGTGGGGGTCAAACGACCCTTTCACAGGGGTTGCCTAAATACTTCCTGCACATCAGATATTTACATTATAATTCATAACAGCAGCAAAATTACTCTGGAAACTCTTTGGTAATTCAGGATATATGGGTTTTGTATGTATTAATCTTATAATATTATTATTGCATGTAGTTTAAATAAGGATTAAAATTGCATTAAAAATAGATCCCTGAATGTTCCTCTTTGTAAAATTTGACTTTTTGTGTGCCACTTAAAAATGTTACCTATAAATCAGTATTTGAGAAAATTTATCGTTCTTAACCTGTTAATATCAAGGAATAAAGTATAAAATATTAAACAAAAAAACCTCTCACGTTACCATAAACTTAGATATTCCAAAAAAACTCAATCAACAAAAATTTCCCCTTTCGTTTCTTTTATAGTTATACTTTTTCTACTTAAATTAGTTTTAAAACTATGGCTAAAACATGAAATTTGCCATCAAAACTCCCTTTAAGTGCATAGGTTAGTAATTTCTCTCCTTGATAAAATCAGTTAGTAGTTTGTCTCATTGACTTAATCAAATCAGGATTTTGATTTGTTTACAGATTGTTTTTAAGTCTGTGACTGTCTAGGAACAGTGACTCACACCTGTGATCCTCCCACTCTGGGAGGACAAGACAGGTGGATTGCTTAATTTCTGGAGTTTGAGAGTAGCCTGAGCAAGAACCAGACCCCATCTCTACTGAAAGTAGAAACAGGCTCCCATGTGCAGTTTTGGGATCCTGTAATGTGGGCTAATCTTACTGGGGTTAGGTGATCTCTCAAAGTGGTTTTGATTTGTATTTCTCTGATATTAAAGATGATGAGCATTTTTTCATGCGTTTGCAGGCCCTGTGCCTGTCATCTTCAGAGAAGTTTCTATTCAGGTCTCTTGCCGACAAAGAAATGGGGTTCTTTGTTACTGATGAGTTTGAGATCCCTGTGGGTCTTAGTTATCAGACTTTTATTGAAAAAATAACCTGCAAAAATCTTCTCCTATTCAGAAGGCTGTCTGTTTGCTTTACTTACAGTGCCCATAGCTGTGCAGAAGTTTTTAGACTGATGAGATCCCAGTAACATATTTTTGATGTTGCTTCAATTGCCAGGGGGGTCCTCCTCATAAAATATTTTCCCACCCCAGTATCTTCAAACATTTTTCCTGCACTCTCTTATAGTAGTTTTTCTTATTTTTATGGCAGAGTCTCGAGCTGCTGCACTGGGTAGAGTGCTGTGGCATCATACCTCACAGCATCATCTAATGGAGGCTCAAGCAATTCTCTTGCCTCAGTTTATTTATTTATTTATTTATTAATAGAGATGGGGTCTCGCTTTGGCTCAGGCTGGTGTTGAACTGGTGAGCTCAAGCAATCCACCTGCCTTGCCCTCCCAAAGTGCTAGGATTATAGGTGTTAGCCACCGCACCCAGCCTCTTCTAGTATTTTTATAGTTTTGTGTCTTAAGTTTGAATCTTTTATCTAGTCAGAATCTATTTTTTGTTAGTGGTAAAAGGTGTGGGTCCATGTTCAGTCTTCTACAGGTTGCTAGCCAGTTCACACAGCACCATTTGTTAAATAGGAAATCTTTCCCTAATGTATGTTTTTGTTAGGCTTATCAAAGACCAAATAATGACGTGCTTGGGGAAAGAAAGAGGAGAGAAGAGATGAGGGTGGAGAGGACAAGTGGAGGGAGGGTTTTTGGCAGGATCTTATGTAATGCTCACAATGAGAGGGTACATTTCAGAACAACTAAGTATATTATCAATGTTTTACCACAAAAATAAGTGAAGTGATGATTATGTTAATTAGTTTGATTTAAACATTCCACATTGTATATCAAATCATTACATTGTACCCCATAAATGTATGCAGTTATGATTTAATAAAAATTAAGTTTAAACAAAAGTAAAGTAGAAACAAATTATCCAGGCAGGGCACGGTGACAGGATCCTGTAGTCTCAGTTATGGGAGACGCTGACATAGGAGGATCACCTAAACTCAGGTCTTCGAGGAGGCTGTGAGCTAGGCTGATTCCCCTGGAATTCTAGCCTGGGTCTGCAGAGTGAGACTTTGTCTTTTAAAAACATTAACAAACAAATTCTGCAACCTGACCCAATCACTTTAAGCTAAGCTAAGCAATTTAAACACATCAAGAGGTTGCTTTCAGTCCCTTTGAAATGTTTAGTAATCTTTGATTGGAAAATTAAGGATCAGTATCCACTGGGATACTGCTGAGGAAGGACACAGGAGTAGCATTTTCTCAGTAGACATTGAAACATGTTTTGATTCTTCATGGACAAGTTGGTTCAACAGAACATCTTTAGGTCACATAGTTTTCTTAAATTTTTTGTTTTTTGTTTTGAGACAGAGTCTCACTGTGTCACCCTCGGAAGAGTGCAGTGGCATCACAGCTCACAGCAGCATCCAGCTCTTGGGCTCAGGCAATTCTCTTGCCTCAGAGTCCGAAGTAGCTGGGACTACAGGTGCCTGCCACAATGCCTGGCTATTTTTTTGTTGCGGTTTCGCGGGGCCTGGGTTTGAACCTGCCACCCTTGGTATATGGGGCCGGCACCCTACTCACTGAGCCACAGGCACTGCCCTGTTTTCTTACATTTTTTAAATGTTCTAGCATTGCCTTTTTGATTTCCAATCAAATTCCCTTGCCATTATAAATCTTCACATATTGCCTATGGGCTCGGAGGAATTTTAACTTTAGTTTATAATAACTTGTGTTTTATTCTAGAGCCTTTATAAATAAAATCTCCCAGGATGGTGAACCCACGAAGGTGAATCTTTTAACTAAGGTGAAGCTGATCAACGAGCTGAATGAGTAGGAGGTCCAGTTTGGGTGGCATATCAGGTGTCCTGGAACTCTGAGTACAAGGACAGGCCTAGATCTTCTTTAGAAGGGCTTTCTGTGAACTGACTGAAGGGGAAATCATTCATGTGTTGCCACTATATGGGGAGATTGTTAACATTTATCTCGTGTGGGGCAAGAAGACTGGGAAATCCAAAGGATTCTGTTTTCTGTGCTATAAAGACCAGAGGAACACAATTCTGGCTGTTGACAATTTCAATGAAATCAAGATCAAAGGGCAGACTATCTGAGCGGATCACGTATCTCAGTATTGGGCTTCTAGGGACTCAGAGGCTGTGGATGAGAGAGCTCCAGGAGAAGGGTTGTGGGGTTCACACCCCCTCATCAAGTTCTTCTGAGGACTCTGAAGATGACAAACCCTCAGACAATCACAGAAAAAAAAAAAACAGGGAAAGAAGAGAAAGAAAAGGAGAACAGACTGGGGAGTACAGGCAGAGCAGTTGTCCTCTCAGGACCCAGATGCAAGACAATTAAAGGGAAAAGATGAAGTGAAGGCATGAGTGAATAAACTGTGGGCATTCCACAAATATTGTGTGAACAAATGGAGTGGGGGAGGGATATAAATGGTATGAATGAGGGTGGCAGATAGCAGGGGAGGTGTGATGGAGTTGGGGGTCACCATATGGAAAGAGGACATGACACTGTGAGAGCTTTTCCTGAGCATGTTTTATTGATTCCCTCCCCTCAGGCAAGGGGGGGGAATTAAAGGCACTGCTGGGAGAAAGGCAGAGAGTTTCCTAAGGTTTGTGGATCTCTTCATGGGTAAGTCGCAGCAGATTGGCCACCAGGGTCATAAATTCAACAAAGTCAACCTGCTGGTCTCTATTGGCATCCAGACCTTCGAATATCTTGTCAATACCACCTTTGTCTTTGGCATTCTAAAAGAAAGAGATGACAGAGACCATGAGGTCAGAGTCCCCAACAAGAATATTTTGCAAGCTCCTCATCCATCAGAGCTGAGTTTGAGGATGGGGACAGGAATATTAACTTATTAGCCAACACTGTTGCATAATCCAGCGTGACAATGCAGAGATGCACCTATTGTGAACCATCCTGGAATCAGCAAGGGCTGACCTGGAAGGTGCCCTGCAGCTCACCTAGACTAGCTTTCCACCCTACACCTCTCTGCACTCTACATGTGAGGAAGCAGGCTCTGGACAGAGGGACTGAACAGAGCCTTGAGTGACAGAGCAAGTTACTGAAAGAGGCTATAGGACTTCTGAACAGCAGTGGTAGAGCATCCTCAGAGCTCCATCAGGCTGCCCCCACCCCACATTGTCCTGTTTCAGACCCTGCTACTCCCCTCAGTGCAGCACTGGGGCGGGGGGCATCCTCTACCTGGATGGTGTTTGAAAATTCCTTCGTCAGCAGCTTCTTTAGCTCACCCTTGGAGAGGGTGTCGTAGTTCCCTGTCAGGACTGAGTACTGGTGGAAGATGTTGACGATCCCTTCCAGGTGCTCTTCAAGCTTAGACATTGTCCCAGCCTCACGTTAGCCTTTAAAGAGACAAGGAGACCTGGCACCTTCTTCACACCCCTCACCAACCCCCACTCTCTGGCTTTTCCACATCATGGACTTAGAGAAAGCACAACATCTTCCACGTCTGTGTGCTGGTCTCTGCTGGGATTGATCCCTGGTGGATTTTTAATTTGTGGATAAGATGAGAAAGAGAAAAACATACAATACCCCCTGAAGTCTGAAAGAGTTGTCCTCATTTGCCCACACCACCTCATCCACCCTCACCTGGGAGGGTTCTGTGGTGGGCCAAGCTGTTTGCTCTCATCAGACAACAGTACTTTGGCCACACACCCCTTACAAGTGGTCCCCACCTCACCTCTGCTTAGCCATCCCCAAGTCCTAGGCCTGTATCTACCAAGCACAGCAAGGACTGGTCCACTTGGATCCAAAATGCAATGTTAGCCCTGAGGTGCTCAGGCAGGGAAGGGCTGTGGCTGCCAAGGAGACCACTTTCAAACACCACCCTATAGACCACTGAGACCCGGCTAAGGAAAGGGCACTTACCCCTCAGCACAGAGGAATGTGTAGCTACAGCAATGAGTCGGCTCCAGTGAAGTGTGCCAAGCCAAGGAGGGTTTATAAGCCAGTCAAGGCTGCACACTTGATCCTGGGTGAAGAAATCTCTCTGATTCATCATGATGCAATTGCTAGACAGTGAGTGGTCTGTTGCTCAAAAGAAGTTTCAAACTTGTGGCCTTGACGGAAAAAGGAGGGGCTGAGGTTGCACCCACTCCTGGTCTCACCTTCTTGATCTCCTGAAAACAAAAGCCCTTGCCCCACTCGTAGACCTTCCTGTTCAACATGAAGCAAAAGCCCTTGACATGCCACACACACATAAACAAACATGCACATACATGTACACATGTGTGCGCCCATGTGTACACACACCTAGTTCCATACACATGTGCACACGTACATGTGTGTTCACACATGTACACACTCAGACACGTGCACGCACACACAAGTGGGCTGCATATTTCTCAGCCCGGATCCGGGGTCCAGCCTCCACGTTTAGCTGGTGAAGTTCCAGGTTTAGCTTTACCCTCTGCTCCCTAATAAAGGGCTGAGAGTTCACATCTCATGGCGCCTGCCTAGAAAGAGCAGGAGGGGGAGGCATTGACTGAGTGTCTGTTTGGACAAAAGTGATAAAGATAGATAATAAAGAAAATCAAAGTGAAGACATAATCGTAGAACAGGATAAAGGAAATCAGTTATAAACTATGGAAATCTGAATAAAGTTTAGAACATAGTTCGTAACAATATATTAATAGCATTTAATAAACATGTGGAACACATGGCCTGCTAAAAAGAACAGAAATAATTTTCAGAAATGTACCATACTAATGTAAAGCGTTGATAATAGAGAAAATTGTGTACAGGTATATAAGAACTGTCCACACTATCTTCTCAAATTTTTTGTATGTCTATAACTGTTCTAAAAGTAAGGTCTGGATTTTTTAAGAGATGACATGTTGGGATCTCTCAACATGCCAGACGTTGCCTGTGCACAGGCCTTCCCTGAATTCTGAAGGCAGCTCTGTGGGTTGGATGCTAATAGTGTGACCATTTTGCAGATGAAGAAAATGAGTTAGGGAGGTTAAGTAATTTTTTATTAACACATGAAAGCCTATATAGATTTATAGGGCACATGTGATACTTTGATACATCCATGTAATGTGCAATGATCAAATCAGGGTAACTAGGGTATTCATCACCTAAAACGCCTATCATTTCTTTAGTTGTGTTGGGAATATTACAAATCTTTTCTCCTTGCGATTTTGAAATATATAATAAATTAGTGTCGACTGTGGTCACTCTACTCTGCTCTTGAACACTAGAACTTATTCCTTCTGTGTAACTGTATTTTTGTTCCCATTAACCAACTTCTGTTTATTCCTGCCCCTCTCTACCTCTTTCAGCCTCTGAAAACCATCATCCTACTCTCTACCACCCTGAGATCATCTTTTTGAGCTCCCACATACCAGTGAAACTGAGAACATGTGATGTTTGTCTTTCTGGCTGATTTTACTTAACATAAAGACCTCCAGCTCCATCCATGCTGCTTCAAATAACACATTTCATTCTTTAGGATGTTAAATTGCCCTTGTTTGCAGATGACATGATCTCACATACAGAAAATCCTAAAAGCTCCACCAAGAAAATCTTAGAAGTGATGAACAAATCCAGTAAAGTTTTAGAATACAAAGGTAACATACAAAACCCAGCAGTGTTTCTATACACCAACAACAAACTGGCAGAAAAACAAATTAAGAAAGTAATTCTTTTGGGCGGCACCTGTGGCTCAAAGGACTAGGGCGCTGGCCCCATATGCCAGAAGTGGCAGAATCAAACCCAGCCCCTGCCAAAAACTGCAAAAAAAAAAAAAAAAAAAAGGAAGAAGAAGAAAAAACAAAGTAATCCTTTCTACCATAGCTACAAGGAAAAAAAAAATCCTCAAAATAAATTTAATCAGGGAAGTAAAGGATCTCTACAAAACAAATTATAAAACACTAACAAGTAGTCACAAAAATGAAAATACATCCCATGTACATGAATGGGAAGAATTGATATTGTGAAAACTACCATGCTGTCAAAAGTGACCTACAAATGCAGTGCAATCCCTGTGAGAATACTAATGATACACTTCACAGAAATTGGAAAAACAACTCTAAAATTCACGTGGAACTACTGAAGACCTCAAATAGCCAAAACAATTCCACGCAAAATGAACCAAACTGGAAGCATCTCATCACCTGACTTCAAAATATAATATAAACCTGTAGTAATTAAGACACGTGGTATTGGCATAAAAACAGACACATAGAAACAGAATAGAAAACCCAGAAATAAATCCAGGTATTTATAGACAACTGATTTTTGACAAAAGAGCCAAGAACATTCTTTGCAAAGGTGTAGACTTTCCAATAAAGAGTCCTGGGAAAACTGGATATCCAGATGTAGGAAAATAAACTAGATCCCCATATCTTTCCCCTTACAAGGATCAACTCCAAATGGAACCCTGAAACAATGAAACTACTGGAAGAAAACATCAGGGAAATGCTTCCAGGCATCAATCTGGGCAGTTTTGGGGGGGGAGGGTGGGTAAGGTATCAAAAATACAGGCAACAACAACAGAAAAAGACAAATGGGATTATATCAATAAAAAAGTCTATACAGAAAAGTAAACAATCATGGAGGGAAGAAACAACATACAAAATAGGAGAAAATACATGCAAACATCTGACAAAGAATTAATAAAATATATAAGGAGTTAAAACAACTCAGTAGCAAATAAATGCTCCAAATTTAAACAGGCAAATGATATCAATAGGCACTTCTGAAAAGAAGACATACAAGTGGCCAAAAAGCATATGAAAAAAA